GGGACTGCAGCCTACACCATCGCCGGCGACCCACGGCAGCCCAGCCCCAGGTCGAGCTGCCATTCACCATCTTAGCTGCAGAGGGCAGTGTCACTGGCCCTCATATGTGGGATCCGAACCGGTGCCCTCTGGCATCCCAAGACAGTTCTTAACCAACGTGCCACTCGGCCAGCCCAAAGATTTATATTTTAAATAACTGTGTTTATTTATTAAAGGTATAAAACTCTTGCTTTTACTAAAAGTAATAACAAGTGAAAGGTGACTGAATAAGTTTTATTGACTTGGCAATTCCAAGATTTGGTTCTAGGTCTAGTTTATTTTGATACTTGGTTATAAGGGCTGATGCAGCTGAAAAAAAAACCTTACAAAAACTTGTAGCTCCAAATGGGAAAAATGGTCACAGCTTAGCTGAACTAGTCAGGATACTATTCTATCCCATCTACCAATTATGCAAAAATTCTTATCAAAATTCATATGGTAGGGGCTGGCCGAGTGGCTCAGTTGTTTAAGAGCATGAGCTCTGAGTAACAGGGTCGCCGGTTCGATTCCCACATGGGCAGTGAGCTGCGCCTGAGCTGAGCTGCCACTGAGCTGCCAACAGGTGGCAGGATGGCTCAGTTGGTGAAAGCACGTGCTCCTAACAACAAGATTGCAGGTTCGACTCCCACATGGGATGCTGGCTATGCCCACCCACAACTAAGATTGAACATGGGACCTTAAGCTGAGCTGCAGCGAGCTGCTGACAGGTGGCTAGACGGCGACTGGACTGGACAACAACTTGGCTGTTTCCCTCCCCTAACTCCCCAATAAAAATCTTAAAAAAATAAAAGTTTATATGGTAAATTTTTATTTTTCCTGATATTAATCAGCTTATAAGCTACATAGAAAATTTACCCTTTTAACATTTTTATTAAAAGTATTCTAGCCCCGGGCTGGCCGAGTGGCATGTTGGTTAAGAACTGGCTTGGGATGCCAGAGGGCCGCGGTTCGGATCCCACATATGAGGGCCAGTGACACTGCCCTCNCCCCCCCCACCCCCAGCCCCATCTCTGTATAGTAAAAGTGGTATGTTACTTAGACTTATTTTGGAAAGAAGGTTACTTGGGCCAGGGTGACCACAATAAACTTTATTCTTTCTACAGCTTTCATCTGGTTCCTCTCCCTCCATTTGCTGGCCGTCAAAGTCAGTACCCAAGGCAATATAAAATTAAATGTTCAAATTCTAAAGATCTAGCAATACCAGTTGGCACTTAAGAAATGAATGAACTAACTTTAGAAATGATAGACTCTCACAGCAGCAAATGCTATATCCCTCTTAGTTTTTCGGGGTTTTTTTGCAAATAATCTCCAGACCTACCACATTAAGTGTGTAATGTACAAAAGTTTTCCTCTTTTTATCCGTGACAGAATGAAATTTTAAAATTGACACATCAAAAAAAGGAACCTTTATTAAGTGTCTACTATGCCATATGCCCATACACTTCACACATGTTCTCTTTTTATCTTCATTACTTCTATGAGAATATATTATCTGCTCTTACAGAGTTAAGAAAACAGAGGTTTAAGTAACTTT